GTAGTCACTATATGCTTGTAGTAGCACATCCATTTCTGTCGGGGAAAAAACGCAGACCTATTTTTGCTTGGTCCTGTTGCCATGGTGACTCGTAATGTCTTCACTCCATTGTTCAGGGCTTTTTATAGTCGCGTGGCACGCGCCTAACTCTGAGTCAAACTACTCAGAGTTGATTAAACCAACTCTTTTCAGCTTTTCTGAAACCGAAAACTCCAAGTTTTCCAACTCTGTGTAAGTCAACTCAGAGTTCAGGTTTGAACTCTGAGTTTGTTAAACCTACTTCTTGAAATGGGCCCCTGGTCACTTACTAGTCTGCTGGTTGTTTGTCATAACGTACTGTGAGTTAGTGACATCCTGTCTGGACTGACATGTATACAGCTGTCAGCCGACTCACAGTGCCACATTTCCACTTGGTTCTGTGTTCTCTCAGCTGTGAAAGAACCTCCTCAGTCATAATCCCAGTTAAGCAAGGCTTCTGACCAATTTGGGAAACTTTTCTGGAGTAGTATAGGCCTGCATTCTTCTATAATAAGTACGAAAGTCACTTTCGGCTTTTTCCCGTTTAGGGGTCGCCACAGCGAATTGTCACAATGACGACTCGCATTTTGACATTTGGCATGTGTTTTATGCCGAATGCCCTTCCTGACACAACCTTGATTCGAACCTGTGCCGCAGCGGTGAAAGCGCTGCGCCTTAACCACTAGCCTACCAGGGAAGGCTTTCTTCTATAATAAGTAGTGATTCGTTATCTTGGTGATACAGTTAAATGCAATATGAAGAAGCTACTGCGTCCACAGAATACAGGAGCTTTACATCAAGACCCTCACAAAGGCTGAAATGATCAAAAAGCATATTTCCTGTTTAGTCAATAAATATTTGGTTCCAATTTACTGCAGCATGTTTGCATTCTGTTGTCTAGAAACAACAAAATAGTAGGTGTAAAGTTAGTGCCATGTCACATTTGAAGAGCAAGGTAAATGCATGATATAACTACCCAGTGTCTTACTACATGACTGAGCTTCTCTGTTGTTGAGAACAGAATAACATAAATAAACCTATGTTTATTTCCTGAATTGTAATTGTAATCGCAACTGATGGGAAAAAAACCCCTCTCAGATACCCTCCAACAGAGTGATGCAGTTGGCACAGCCCTAAATTGTGGTAATCTGCACAGATTTCTGCAGACAAGAACAGCAGCTGGACATGTGGACACAGACTTTTAGTCAAAACTTCATTTGGCTTCCTTTACCATATCGAAAGGAAAGAAGTGTAAAATCTTGGATAATAATGCTGATAGCAGTCTTAATAACAAATACAGCTGCAATTTCCTTATGACCCCATCTGGTCATACCGATGGTGATTGCAGAGAGCTCGACAGTTTCAGTGACCAGACCGAAGAGCTCAAGACTGTGTCCATCCAACTACAGATGAAGAACTAATACAGACTTGATTGATGTTTCACCCATCTGTCAGCAAAGTTCCATTCTGTAGTGATGAGGTATGTGTATGTGCACAGAAACATACTGCAGGCTTTGGAGCCCAAACATTAGTGGACTGTGTGTTTGTATGTGTGCAAATGACAAGTCCACCCAGACATTCGCCATGCTGCCTGTCGGCTCTGTGATGGTGATCCAGCAATGTAGACAAATGAACGACCTGTTCTGAGAGGGAACGTGATGAAGAGAGGGAGATATTACTCAGAGAATGGTGGGAACATGCCGAGGTCAGCGAAGTCTTCAATGTTGTAGTTGGCTGTTCCCTGGGTGGGATCTCCAGCCATGGGTAACATGTCCTGCAGAGACACAGGGAACAGGGGGTCAGAGCCCTTATCAAACATATCATGTATCTGCGTACACTGGTCAGCGACCAGCAGCTGGAACACACACCACAGAGGAGTCCAAGAGCAGCAGAGGCTTCATTTGAGTATGTGTGTTACCTGGAAAACTTCTGTCTGGCTGGGGTTGGGGTGTGTGTGCTGTTCCCCTGCCTGTTGGGAGTGATGCTGGTTTTGCCACTGAGACCAGACCTCACTGGGACGACCCGGGAACTGGGCTCCGCTCTGACTGCTCTCCCCCGCCACATCTGGAACCAGGTGCAGGGTTAGACTCTTACATAATAACAGATCTGCTAAAAAGATCTTAGTGCTTTCAATTAAAGCAGCGAACATTAACAGACATGTTTAGTGTAGAATGAAATCAATCAAATTTAGCTTGAATGACTGACACAATTTGATCTGCCTGTCAGATTAACCCATCTACTACAACACACTTCACATTAACACTACTACGACCTTGCATTTTAGGTGAACTTTTATTCATTATGCATTTATTTATTATTTATTAATGAAGCTGTTGACCACTGTCAGCTGACTGATGCTGCACTGCTCTCCTGTTATAAAATTCTTTATTTGATAAATTGGAAATTAACCAGAAACTTAAACAATTTTATATTAAACTGTATATATCTGAGTCAATAATGGATGCTAAGCTTCTGGAGAGTTTTTTGACAATCTGGATATCCCCTCCATTAGTGAAAAAAACAAGAATCTTTAAAGTGCCCAGTCATATTGTAAGATGTAAAACTAGCAAAACGTAGCTTTCAGAGTTCACAGGCACCCAGTCCAGATGGGTATATGCCTGAATTTTACAAGACACTTATTGTAGAGAATGCCCTTCCCTTGTTAGATGCTTTTAATGATTCACTGGAAAGGGGCCTTCCTCTAATCTCACTTTATCAAGCTTCAATCTCTCTGCTACACAAAAAAGAAAACGATCCACTTGTCCCAGCATCATATAAACCAGTGAGCCTACTAAATGTTGACAAAAACATTAGTTAAAATATTGGCCACCAGACAGGAGAATGTCCTGCTGACAATAATGCATGAAGACCAGACAGGATTTATTAAACATATTAACAGACAATTGGGACTTCCGGTAGATACACCACCAAGATGGCTGTGTTGTAGAGGAGCCCCCGAAGGAACCAGAGAAAGTTAAGATAACCCCCCTTGAACTGAAGTTAGAACAGGAAAAAGCAATAGCAATAGAGTTTAAAATCAAGAGGGGGTGAGAAATACACCAGAATATATTCTCGGCGATGAACTGTAAGTAAGCAAATTAACTTGGAGAGACAAGTTGGACAACCGGCGCTAGCACTAGCTACCACTGGATAAAGCTAACCACCGTAAGGCACGGCTACATAAAAGCAACGACAGTACGACACATTGGAAAGTATCTTGGGCGGGGAGAATATGGCAGACTATGACAAACTTGCTGAGTTACATGAAGTACTTTTGCAAGAAATAATAGGCTTTCGCCAAGAAAACAAGTACCAGATGGAAGGCATCTGGGAGGAGTTTGCAAAGGTGAATGGCAGACTAGGTGAAGCTGAAAGTAGAATAGAGAAAGCAGAGGAGAGGATGCAGAATACGGAGGATGCGGTGACTGAACTTGTGAAGCTACACATTAAGTTGCAGGACAAGTTAACGGAGTAGGAGAGTCGTTCTAGAAGAGAGAATATTAGGATTTATGGCATGCCAGAGTCAGCAGAACGAGACTCCCCATCAATGAGCGCTTTTGTGGAGACGCTGCTACGGGAAGGCTTGGAGCTGGATGGGTCAGATATCCACATCGAACGTGCACATCGCTCACTGGGCTCTCCTCCACCAAATGAGGCTCCTCCACGTCGATAGTCGTTAAGTTTCTAAGTTATAAGACTAAAGAACTGATACTTTGCAAGGCCTGGTCAAGAAGAGGGTTCACCTGGAATGCCAAAAAGATAACATTGGATCATGACTACCCTCCTCTCATTCTTAAGAAGTGGAAGGACTATGCAGACGTGCGCAAAACTCTGAAAGAAAATCAGGTACAATTTCAGACCCTCTTCCCGGCCAGATTGAAAGTAAAATATACTGATGGAGCCAGAATATACAACACGGTGGAGGAAGCGACCGAAGATATGACTAGGAGAGGCTACATGGTGAAGATCATCAAACCGCCCGATACAATCGTTGAACAGCTGAAGTGGCTGACCTGGAATAGAGCGGCCAAAGGGTCCAGGAGGCAGCAGAACCCAGGATCAGACCCTGGCTACAAAGAAAAATTGAAAGCCTTCAGGAGGACAAAACTTAATAAAGAAATAGATGAAATAATATGGCAGTACAGAAAAACATTCCTATACATTCCTAGGACATTCCTATACAAAGTGCTTGACAAATTTGGACTGCATAAATCTATAATTGATGTAATTTCGGGACTATATCAAAAACCAATAGCTAGAATCAAAATAAATGGATACCTCACAGTCATTTACATTAGGAAACTGTCAGGGATGCAATTTATTGCCACTCCTCTTTGCCTTATTTATCGAGCTGCTAGGCCAATGGATTAGGCAGAGGCAAGATACTACGGGGGTGAATATGGAGGGGGTAGAACAAAAATTGGCATTATTTGCAGATTACCTAATATTAACCATATGCCAACCAACGCAATCTCTGCCTAAGATTATGAAGATACTGGAAGATTATGGTACATACTCAGGGTACAAAATCAATGTTAACAAAAAAAATACTAACCCTAAACTATGACCCGACCCCCCCAGAGTATTAGATATCACTATAAATGGAAATGGGATGAGGACAATATAAAATATTTAGGGGTTTTACTACACCGGGACTTTCCAAAGATGTATGAAATCAACTATGGGTCCCTTAATGTGAAAATAAAATTCAACATAGAACGATGGAATACCATACCCTTTTTAGATCTGCACTCTAGGATCGATTCTATCAGAATGAACATTCTACCCCAAATGTTGTATCTCTTCCAATGTTTACCTTTTCCTATAACCCCAAAACAATTCGCAGAATGGGACAGACTATTTTCAAGGTTCATATGGAAGAGTAAAAAACCCAGAGTTAAGTATAAAACCCTACAATTGGAAGAAGAGAAGGAGCCTCTCATCTTTACAAGAGTATTATTATGCTGCCCAGTTAAGGCCACTGGTGTGCCTGTGATCTCCAGTCTATGCAGCAGGGTGGAAAGATGTTGAGGGAACAATTAAAGGAATACCAATTAAGGCTTTAGTAACCAACACAAAATTGCAGACAGAAATCAATATACCAAACGAGCACATATCTTCTACGATGTTAACAGCGTGGCATGAAACAATTAAAATATGTAATTTGGAAGACTCATCCAAAATTTTGTGATGGTGTGCATGACTCGGAGTTCATCCCAAACAAATATGGCGACAGGTTTAAGAACTGTATTTCAAAAAGATTAACCAACTATAATTCATTTGTCCAAAAGGGGACACTGCAAACCTTTGACACTCTGAAACATAAATATGGCTTGAGCTCCGAGGACTTCTTCAGATAGCTATAGGTTAGACTCTATTTTAATAAGAATATCAAAGTGCCCTTAGCCAACCAGGGATTCCTTCAAACATTTATTTCACTAACAAAATCATTGTCACCCACAAAAATTATTTCTAAATTATACAACAGCATTCAGCAGAGTAAGAGGAGGAACCCATATTACATAAAAGAGAAGAAGGAGGGTTAACTATCACAGAGGAGAATTGGGAACACATATGTCAGATGCAATGGGCTTCAACGGAATCGAACATTTGGCGTGAATTTCGTTGGAAAAATATCAGATTTTTCATTACCCCTGCTCAAAAAAGATATCAAGGAACTGGAGATGACTGTTGGAGATGTGGAGATTAGAGATTGGCCCCACATTTATCTCATGGATAAGGCTTCTTCAAGCATCTCCAAACAAACAAACAAGCTTTGGTTCAGCTACTTCAATCTAATCTGATCTGTTAGTCATGGTTGTCCACTGCCTCTGCTGCTTTTCACATTAGCAACTGAACCTTTAGCAAGATCTTTACGTTCCTCACCTGACTACAAAGAAATCTTTAGAGGAGGGGGGAGGACAAAGCTTCTTTATATGCGGATTTATTAAACCTTTCCCTACCCTTTCAAGTCAGTCCCTGCAATAATCTCCATACTGAGCAACTTAGAATGGATAACTTGATGAAAGCATACTGATTCTGATTAATGCTAACGCAGAAGAACAATTGTTTCAAACTTTGACTTTCACGTCACTAAAACATTTGCAGAACTATAAAGGAGAACTTTGATTTGATTTGATTTATTCTTTCAAGCATGTAAAGACAGTTATGTCAACACACATAATTTTACACATATCCGAACAATTGCTAATCCAATATCAATTTGCTTATACCTAGTACATGCTTGAATGGAGTAGGAAGAAGTCAGACTTATCCAGTCCTACCCCATGACATCATCTTACCATCATTGGTTTGCAAGCAGTATCTCTACATAAATAATTCTCTTCTACACCACACAAGTAATATACTAAAAAAATTATAACAGAGTGTTAACATTCTTACATAATTACATTCTTAAATAATTATCTTCTACACCACACAAGTAATATACTAAAGAATTAATACAAGGTGTTAACATTCATACACCACACCCACAATGTTCCATCTAATTAATCATTAAGC